ATAAGTTACCGGGAGCCGTCGGCGTGGTGGTAGACGCCGTGGCCGTGGGCACGGTCTTCCACCCAGTCCCCAAAGTAAACGTCCCCGTCAACTGCAGCAAACCCCACAACCTAGGGTTTAGGGTTTAGGGTTTAGGGTTTAGGGGTTGGAGTGAAGCAAAGGGCAGGGAATGCAGCAGCAGCTAGCAGAAAAATAAAAGGAGAAAGAAAAATAAAATGAAATTAAAAAGAAATTAAAGGGACTTAAAAAGGAAATTGAAAAGAATTAAAAAAGAATCAAAAGAGAATTCAAAGGAATTAAAAAGAAATAAAGGGAAATTAAAGGAAATAAAGGGAAATAAAAAGAAATAAAAAATAAAAAACAAAAGACTCACCGTGGACGAATTTTCCCTTCCCCTGGGCCTTGTCGTTAACCCACTGTCCTTCGTACCTGAGCGCCCGAACCCCTAAACCCTAAACCCTAAACCCTAAACCCTAAACCCTAAACGCGTGCCGAAGTCCGCGATCCTCAACAGGAGCTGCACCGTCCGCGGCTGCGCCGCGCAGGCGCAAGCCCAGGCCCAGGCCCAGGCCAGGCCTAGGGCTTAGGGTTTAGGGTTTAGGGTTTAGGGTTTAGGGTTTAGGGTTTAGGGTTTACCGCGCGCCGTCGTCCCAGACCTGCACCCCGTAGCCGTCGCGCGCGTCGCCCAGCCACTCGCCTGTATAGACAGCTCCGTTGTCGAAGGCCACTTGTTTGCGGATTCTCCCGCCGCCCACGAACTGGGCCTCTGCAGCTTTCGTTTCTTCGTTCTGCGCAAACCCTAAACCCTAAACCCTAAACCCTAAGCCCCAAACCCTCGGCCCTGCGCCCCAGTCGCGCGCTCGCGGGCGCGCGGCCGCAGGGGGCTCTGCGCGCGAAGCGGCGCGCGGGGACGCCGCGGGAGACTCGCGAGAGGGGTTTAGGGTTTGGGGCTTCGGGGCTAGGGTTTAGGGTTTAGGGTTTAGGGTTTAGGGGCGCAGGTGGGATGGCTCCGCGTACCCCGA